AGCAATGCTTTCCCCAGAAAGTCTTGAAATTGCTTCTGTCCTTTCTTAGAAGTTTGGGAAAGTGCCATCAAAGTTAAAAGGGCTGTTGAAAGTTAAAAGGACTGCTGGAGCTGATAGGGTGTCTGGAGAATAGGATTTTGTTTCCATCTTCGTGGATCAGAAGGAGGACTTGCTTTCTTCTTTAGACTGCTTTGGGTGCATGAAGGAACGAATGTAAGGGCACTCCCAGGCTGTCACTATTTAGGGGTAAGATTCAGTCACTTACTGGCCAATTCAGGGTTGAATTATTACAACTTATTGGAGCTCTTGTGGAACAATTCTGCTTCCCCCAAAGCAGATTATAAGGAAAGTGAAAGGAAAATGTGCTGGAAAATATGAGATAACATTTGGTTGATGCTATATCATCTAACCTCCTTGCAAACAAACCAAGATGAATGCTCAGTAAACTGATCATCTGAACATGACCTAAGTGACAATTTGTCCAGGGGCATTGAACATACTAGTGACATCTCTAATGCTTTTATTTTCCTAAACTTCTCAGTTTGGGTAAGCTGCTGCAAGTTGTGTTGGCTTTGGAGCCTTCTTGAATGGTTCACTTTTCACTTTCTTAAAGCATAAGCATAACCCTAAGTACAATCGTACCTCAGAAGTTGAACGGAATCCATTCCAGAAGTCCGTTCGACTTCCAAAAAGTTTGGAAACCAAATCACAGCTTCTGATTGGCTTCAGGAAGCTTCTGCAGCCAATCAGAAGCCACGGAAGCCCCGTCAGACGTTCGGCTTCCAAAAATAGTTCACAAACTTCTGGTTCGGTTTCCAAAAATAGTTCGGCTTCCAAAAATAGTTCACAAACTTCACTCACTTCTGGTTTGCGGTGTTCGAGAGCCAAAACGTTCGAGAACTAAGCTGTTCAAAAACCAAGGTACAACTGTATTTCAGCACATCTCAGCTTGTCTTCTTTTATTTATTTTGAAAATGAACCACTGGAAAGTATCCTGATACCATGGGAAATTTGGTGTATGTCTGAAAGTAGTGTAGATGCATGAGGGGGCGGGGAGTATAAAGGCTTCTTCTAAATCTAATCTGCCTCATAGCTCTATCCTACTCTATACTCACAGCATACCACCAACACATCACAGAGGAAAATCGGGAAATGTGTATCTTTTGGGACCACAATCTAGAGGGAGCCTGGTGACTTACATGAGAGCATGGCTCCATCTTTAGGGGCTGTACTCTCATGCAAGTCAAAACAGGACATCCCAGGATCCATTCAGAAGCTGGGATGGCTTCTATAATTCTGGTATGTCCCACTTAAAGCAGGACAGTTGAGAAGAATGGCACAGCATATAGGTACATTTATAACAGCTCTCCCAAGATGCACTTAAGTACCTCCTTCAATATTAGCAGCATCTTTTGAAGGTATGGATTTATCTTCCACATCTAGCAAGGCTGCACAATTTATAACATAGGTCTGGGGAACCTGTGGCTTTCCAGATGGCTAACAGTTGAAAAACTATTACCATTATCCCTGAACATTTGACATACCGGCTGGGACTGACAGGAGTTGGAGTCAAACAACATCTGGAAGGCTACAGGTTCTCCAGCCCTGTTGTAAGCCAAGAAACTTATCACCTGTCAGACATGTCAACCCACTGGAGATGCAATGCATCTTCTATTTTTGCTGTTTGAGGGATTGCAAAGCCAGGGAGTTATCAAGAATGTGGCAGTTTACCGTATGTCACTTTTCACATCAGAAACAGCCCATTCCTGCTCAACAGACTTGATGGACTTATAGAACCACAAAGCAGTCCAACACCATCCTGTTTGTGGGGTGGTGGTACTCAAGACACGAAGAACAATGCCAGTAATATAAATACAGATGTGAAACCTTATTCCTTAACCCCACTGCACAGTACAGTGGTACCTCAGGTTACATACGCTTCAGGTTACAGACACTTCAGGTTACAGACTCCACTAACCCAGAAATAGTACCTCGGGTTAAAAACTTTGCTTCAGGATGAGAACAGAAATCGTGCTCCGGCAGCGTGGCGGCAGCGGGAGGCCCCATTAGCTAAAGTGGTGCTTCAGGTTAAGAACAGTTTCAGGTTAAGAACGAACCTCCGGAACGAATTAAATACTTAACCCGAGGTACCACTGTATCTGTTAACAGTCTGTGTTACTCAAACATAAGCATCCTTTGATTGCAACAGGTCTGTATAATGTGCCCTTTCTCAACCTACTGCCCTTCAGCTGTTTTGGACTACAACTCCCATCATCCCGTACCATTTTCCATGTTGTTTTGGGCTGATGGAAGTTGTCATCCACAACATCTGGAAAGGTACAGGGCTGCAGAGGGCTCGTGTATTGAAACTGCAATGCCAAACAACATTGCATCTTGAAAACTGCACTGGCGTGTTCAGGGTCCAGTCTGATCCAGCTACTTACTGGGGGAGAGCCAAAGGGGGAACTTGGATGCAGAGAAGGTGCAATTTCTGAATGCTGAAGGCTTCAAAAGAACCTGAAGCCCGGGAGAAATTGGAAGGAGCTCAAAAGAGAAGATAGACAGGGACTGGAAGGTGTTTAAAGGATACTTGCAATACCATATTGAAAAATCAGAACTCCTATTAGAATAAACAAGTTCCGTTTTAAATACTGAAATACTAAATAAGATGGATAACAATGTATAATAGAAAAAGAAGCATGAAATTAGGTTAAAGGTGTGTGAAAGAAAGTAATAGAAGTGGAAAGAAATTGCAGTTGAGTAGATTGGAAGTCTAACACAAAGGTGGGGTGAGGGGGGGTGGATGGTGATGGGAAAAGGAATTATCTGTGGGACTGAGTGTAGGTATGTTTGAATATTTTTAAGGATTGTATGAAATGTATGTTTGTATGCTTGTATATTTGCAATATGTGTGTATTAATGCTGAATTATTTTAACAATAAAAACTAAAAAAATAAATAAAAAAAAGAACCTGAAGCCCTGGCTATTGGGAATCATGTGAAAAAATAGTTATGTGTGGGTCTACCCATGATCTACTTGCTGGAAACCACAGGGGCTCTTGTGCTTGAATCCTGCTCAGCGGTTTCCCACAGGCGTCTTGTTGGCCATTATGAGAACAGGATGCTGGTCTAGATGGGTCTGGGACCTGATCCAACAAGTTCTTATGTTCTTACGATGACTAGTCAGATTTTAAAATTGATTCTCAAGTCTTTTGTGAATGCTTTACAAGAAGACAGCTGTCAATATTATTTGCTGGCTCTTGCTTCTCACAAACATTCACGTAAAGATACTGATTTTCCTGAGGATTGTATTGCTACAATTGCAAAAGAGGTGGGGGAAGGAGAATGATTCAACTAATCCTAGTTTTTAGAGAGAGGGGGGGGGAGAGAGAGAGAGAGAAACAGGGGACAATGTAGTCTGGCTAGCAATAAATCAATAGCTAATTAATAGCAAAATGAAAAAGGTCCAGGGCTTCTGTCAGTGTTGGCAAAATAAAGGTCATCTCCCCCATCCTAAATCTGCTTAGTGTTGTGAATGCTGGCAGGTTTATTGCCAGCTAGGCAAGGGCAGATGATTCAGCAGGCGAGATTAGCCCATAGATTTAATGTCTGTGCTTCAAAATAGGTCCAGAAATCCTCTTTGAGAATGATGTCTGTATAAAGGGGTCGATGTAAATGGGGAACGAAACTCGAAGTCGCCCATTTGACCGTGTAACCATTTTAATTCTAGGATCACCAAGGAATAACCTAAGGGCTGGCAATGTTTATTGGTTAGCAACAGCTGCTGGAAAGGTAAATCACTTGCAGAGCACTTTGGGAGGAATTTGAATTGCTTCTATGGTTGCTAGGCATTATTTATTTTCTTACTCAGACTATGTAGGGACATAGGAAGCTGCCTTATACTTCAGAGTTAGAGCCTTAGGATGCCTCCCTGCATAGCTGTCAACTCCCCCCCCCCTTTAAAGGGAAATTTTCTTATTCCAAATAGGATTCCTTGCAAGAAAGGGGAAAAGTTGACAGCTATGCCTCCCTGTGCTAGATCAAACCATTAGTCTGTCCAACTCAGAGAGCCAGTGTGGTGTAGTGGTTAAGAGTGGTAGTCTCGTAATCTGGGGAACCGGGTTCGCGTCTCCGCTCCTCCACATGCAGCTGTTGGGTGACCTTGGGCCAGTCACACTTCTTTGAAGTCTCTCAGCCCCACTCACCTCACAGAGTGTTTGTTGTGGGGGAGGAAGGGAAAGGAGAATGTTAGCCGCTTCGAGACTCCTTAAAGGGAGTGAAAGGCGGGATATCAAATCCAAACTCCTCTTCTTCTTCTTCTTCTTCTTCTTCTTCTTCTTCTTCTTCTTCAGTATTGTCTACACTGATAGGCTGTGAGTCTTTGGGGTTTCGGACAGGGGCATTCCTGTGTGAATGTTCATGGAGGCAGGAGCGGATATATTGTTCATTAATACCTTTCCTAATTTGTGCTATCAAGTTCTTTTACTTAGCAGAGTTTTACATTCCCCTATCAAACACACAGCTGGTTGCAGGCTTGTGTAAGCCTCCCATTATTAGGTTCCTGCTAAGTTCCCTTATTCTCTTAAAATAATAAACATGCCACAATCTTGTATAAAGTATATAAAAGAAGTTTACTCACATCAGTTGACAGTGGGTTCCCTGAAGGCAGACTTAGTTACAGATATATATAAATACATGTGGATCTATCCCATATGGGGATAATCCTAGTGTCCTCTGTTGGCTGAATGCCAACAGAGCATTTCTAGCTAAAAAGCTGGTCCAATGACGGATGGAGTCAAAGAGAGAGAGAGAGAGTGCTGTGTGCCTTGTCCTTTTGTTACCTGGACAGGTAAGGTCACGTCCACCTCTAGTCAAATGCAAAGGAAGGATGTCCCAACCAGGAGGAAACAGGAAGTTTTTGACTGGCTGGACCAAACATTCCCTCGCATGTCCACTCTAGGAAAACAAGGAATGTTGTACTTGACTCCTTCTTATGTATCACTGTTGGTTTCTGATTTCCCTCACTGAGCAGCAACTGCAGTCACAAGACATTGTTTTACATTCCACAGTCTGTACTGTTGGAGTTTCTCACGGGAAAGGGAGACTGGATGTGACGTACACTGGTTTCCTGTTTTTTCACTGTGTGATTCTCTCCGAGCTGAGAGAGGAGAGAGGATGCATTTTCTGCTCTTGCAGAGGCAAGATGTCTTTCTGTAATATACCAGCTTTGAACTGTAAATAAAGCAATATAGAGTATGTAGCACGTATTACTCATCCTTCCGCTGGGCACGACAGGCTCTGCTTTAAATCAACACGTGGTTATGGACTCCAGAGGTCGAATCGGAGTGCCGGCAAAGGATCGGAATGCAGAGGGACGGATCAGAAAGGAATCTGCTCTGCGCGTAGAAGTGATTGATGAGGTATGTGCTACTGCTCCGGGCAGCCTGCCAGCTTCAAGTTAATGGCTTTATGGCTGGACTTTGAACTTTTAAAGCCGGTTTTGCCGGGAATAGGCAAAAGGCTCCCAGGCACAAGTCACTATGCTGGGGAAATCGAAAGTAACTTTTAAGTGCGCCTTTGTAATGAGGCAGCTGCAGCAGTGACGCAGCAAGATTTAAAGCAGCATATGACGCTGAAGGCTAATGCCAGAGTCATGATGGCCCTTCAGGATGCTTGTGGGATTCCTAAGCTCAACAAGAAAAATTACAGCGACTGGGTTCAGTATGCAGAGGCAATTCTGCGGAAAGAGGGTTTGTTTGAGGTGATTACAGAAACCCCCAGTTCCAGTTACAGATGCATGGGAAGCTAAGGATTCCAAAGCAAGGGGAACTCTTACATTGATAGTATCCCCAGAAGAGCTCTGTCTATTGCGTGATAAGACCTCAGCCAGAGAAGTTTGGGACGCTCTGAGAGAGGCTCACTTAAGGACAGAAGCTGGATCCACTATGTTTTATTTTAACAAGCTGCACAATATGGCTCTTGCTGAAGGTGGAGATGTGCGTTTACATCTGATGCAGATGCAAAATCTGAGACATGAGCTGCAACAGAGAGGACTCAACTTTCCAGAGGCTGTGTATTCTTTCATGATACTACAATCTTTGGGTTCAGGTTGGGAGTCTGTTGCAACCCAGATTGCTGTGCAACCAACTGCTCAGCTGACAGTGGACTTTGTTACTGCCGTGATTTTAAATGAAGCAGATCGCCGGGTGCTAGCTGCATGGGCAAGGGGAGTCTTCACAGACGTCATCCCATAGTGCAGTGGAACCACCAGATGGCGCCAAAGCTTTGAAGGCAGTGAAATGCCACTCGTGTGGACGTCTAGGCCATATGAAGAGGGAATGCAGACATCCCAGGGCCAAGACAGAGCAGCGCAGCGAAAGCTCATCGCGCGGAAAAGGCCGAGGCAAAGGCAAAGGTCCGGTGTCTAGGACAACGCAGCACAAGGCTATGGTTTCACGCTTCACTCCAAAGGTTGCAGAGGTCCAGAAGACGTCTAGATCTTTCTTCGTTGTTGATTCAGCGGCCACCCACCACATGTGCAACGATAAGAAACTGTTTGTGTCTTTTACACCGCAGGAAGGTGCGATTCACCAGGCGGATGACCACACTATTCCCAGTAAAGGCTACGGAACTGTTGTTCTTCACAGTTTGGACTTATCGATACAGAATGTGCTTTACGTGCCAGACGCCAAACATAATCTGCTCAGCGTTGGACAGCTGAATGAGCGGAACATTGACGTTTCCTTCAAGAACAAGAAGTGCATCATCACAAAGAAAAATGATTATGTATTGCATGCAGAATATGTTGATCATTTGTTTGTTTTGTATTATGATGATGTGGTGCAGGATGACACTTGTTGCATTGCAGGTTCTAACAAAAGTTTGCATGCAGAATGTATTCACGATTTTCATCGCAAATTTGGTCATTTGCATTTTGAGGCAGTATCTAAAATGCCTGCCTTGGTTGAAGGTATGACTATTAAACCCTGCAGGTACCACATGAAGTGCAAAGCATGCGCAGCAAACAAGGTGAAAATGGCTGCGAAAGGTAAGGTGTCTAGTAGGAAAGCTACAGAACCATACCAGGTTGTTCATGCTGATTTGGTTGGACCACTTGCGCCCTCTTTGGGTGGAAATAGATACTTCATGGTTCTCATTGATGCATTTTCTAGATATATTTTTGTGTACAATCTCAAGCAGAAATCGGAGGCTTTTCCTAGGTTCAAGGAATTCTGTGCTTGGTTGGAAAATGTGCATGGTAAGAAGATAAAGACTCTTTTCAGTGATCGCGGGGGGGGAATTCACTTCTCAGCAGTTTGAAGCTTTTCTGACTGAGAAAGGAATTCAACACGATTTGTCTAGTCCTCGCTCGCCATGGCAGAATGGACTTGCGGAACGGGCAAATCAGACATTGCTTCAAGGATTAAAAACCTTGCTGCATGATGCCAATCTTCCAGAGAGTTATTGGGCCGAATCTCTCTCGTGTTTTGTTTACAGTTACAATCGCAGGTTATCTTCAGCGATTGGTTGTACCTCTATGAGAAGATGTTTGGCAAGAAGCCATACATCAAACACATGAAGATTTTTGGTTCTGACATGTGGGTTCGCTCACCACAAAACTCCAAGTTAGACAAGCGTGGATTGCATGGTATCTTTCTAGGTTATCAGAAAGGGTCTTACAGAATAATGATGACTGACTCTAAGACAATTAAGCTCACGAGAAGTGTTGAGTACAATGCAAAGTGGGGGGAGAAGGTGGGAATTTTCCAATGTTATCCTGATGACGGTGATGAGACTGAGGATAGTCAAAAGCAACCACAACAGCCCACACCCACTGATGAAGGTTCTGAGTCTGAATCTGAAACTGAATCGGGTGATTCAGAGGATTTCAAGAGTGCGAAAGCCTCTATGCGACCCTCTGAAAGCTCTGATCAAGAATTGGAGGAACCATTGTTCACAATAGGTCGTTTTTCTCCTAAGAAGGAAGAGGAGAGTGTTGAAGACTTAAGGCTAATTCGTAGGTCACAGAGAGCCACAAAAGGCAAACCTCCAAAGAGATTTGCTGATGAGTTTGCTAAGATAGCAGTAACAGCTGTTAAAAGCTCCAAGAAGGTATTTGAACCTTCAAGTTTCCAAGAAATCCAGGGTTTGGATTCAAAGGAAGCTGAGCCATGGTTAAATGCCATGAAGGCTGAGCTTGATTCCTTAGAAAGGAACAAAACATGGGAGCTAGTTCCAGTAGTTCCAGGAATGAAACTGCTTGGAAGCAAATGGGTCTTCAAAGCGAAGACAGATCAAAATGGCAAGATAGTCAGACACAAAGCCAGATTGGTAGCCAGAGGTTTTGCACAGGTACCAGGTGAAGACTATCACGAGACCTATTCACCCACAGTGAGATATGAAAGCATTAGGCTTATGCTCAAGCTAGCTGCAGAGGAAAATCTACACATTAGTCACCATGATATTAATACAGCTTTTCTGTACGGATCTCTAGATGAATCACTTTATATGCTTCCACCTGATGGCGTACAGGTAAAACAGGGATTTGTTTGTGCTCTGAAGAAATCCCTTTATGGTCTCAAACAAAGTGCACGGTGTTGGCACACAAAACTCACTGAAGTATTGTTTTCTCTAGGTTTTCAGCAAGGGAAAGCTGATCCATGTGTATTTGTCAAAGAGGAGGGGCAAAAGAAACTGTACTGTTTGTTTTATGTTGATGATTTATTATTCTTTTGGAAAGATGTTGCAATGTACAATAGCGCCCTAGCTCAACTGAAAGAGCACTTTGACATGAAAGATCTTGGTGAGGTAAACAACTACCTATCTCTGGAAATAGAGAGAGATCAAGATGGTAACATTCTAGTACACCAGTCACGGAAAATTGCTGATGTGTTAAGCAAACTAAATCTGATGGATGCTAACCCTGTAGACACACCGATGACAACAGGTTATCAGGTAGATGACACTGAAGAAGCATTTTCTGACACTACACTGTACAGGAGTGTGCTAGGCAAGCTAAACTTCATTGCCAGATGTTCAAGACCAGACATTGCTGTTAGCTGTAATTTGCTAAGCAGACAAGTCAACAATCCTAGTGTCAAGGATTGGAAAGCTCTGAAACGCATCGCGCGGTATTTGAAAGGCACTATGCATTACAGACTGAGATTTAACAATCAGAAGTCTGGTGGTCTTGAGATATTTGCAGATGCAAGTTTTGGAAGTGACGCTACAGACAGGAAAAGTACGTCTGGAGTTTGCTACATGTACAATCAGAGTCTGTTTGATTGGTCATGCAAGAAGCAAACAACAGTTAGCTTAAGTACTTGTGAAGCTGAACTGAATGCACTGTCTTATTCACTTAAGGATTGTGAATGGTTAGTACAATTGTGCAAAGATATGAAAATTCCTGTCAAATGTCCAATCCAGGTTTACCAGGACAACAAAGCATGTTTGGCTTTGCTGAAGTCTGAAGGTTGTAAGCAAAGCACAAAGCACTTGCAATTAAAGTTGCAGCATGCTAGGGAATGTATTCAGAAGGGACTCGTAACGGTGTCCTATATGCCAGGTAATGAAATTCCTGCTGATGTATTGTCCAAGATTGTATCAAGGGATCAACACTGTACCTATGTGCAGAAGTTGGGTTTGTACTGATACTGTACGAACACGCTGCCCAGTGATGTTCACAGAAAGGGGGAGGATGTTGGTTTCTGATTTCCCTCACTGAGCAGCAACTGCAGTCACAAGACATTGTTTTACATTCCACAGTCTGTACTGTTGGAGTTTCTCACGGGAAAGGGAGACTGGATGTGACGTACACTGGTTTCCTGTTTTTCACTGTGTGATTCTCTCCGAGCTGAGAGAGGAGAGAGGATGCATTTTCTGCTCTTGCAGAGGCAAGATGTCTTTCTGTAATATACCAGCTTTGAACTGTAAATAAAGCAATATAGAGTATGTAGCACGTATTACTCATCCTTCCGCTGGGCACGACAGGCTCTGCTTTAAATCAACAATCACATCCCACAATTCCTAGTTCTGCTTGGGGGTTAAACTGTGGAGACTGCATGTAAATCGGATACTCTGAGCACTGACTCTTTCCTTGGTCCACCGAATTAAGCATTGTGTGTGCTGAATGTCAGTGGCTGTCCAAGGTTTTGAGCCTTACCTGGATATGCCAGGAACTGAACCTGGGAACTTCTGAATGCAAATGAGAAGTGCAGCTTCTCACAACCACCCAGAAAATATTGCAGTGATGGAGTGAGCAGTGGAGGACAGGAGCAGGAGATGAGATTTCTCATTCTGCCACATCCAACTTCTTGCCACACATTTTTTTCTCAAGGAGTGAATCAGTAGGATGGTCTTTTTTCTTTGACCTTTCCCTTTGTCCTCGTCAGTGCTTTGTCCTTTGACATTTACCACTGAACTCATCATGTGGGCTGCCTTGGCTGGGGTGAGGCTGTGCTCTGAGAACATAGGGTGGAAGTTTTACTCAAGTAGCCCTGTTGAAATTAATGAACCTGATATAGTCATGCTCTTTAATTGCAATGGATCTACCTGGAGATGGTGGTGATAGAACCTTGAGACCTTCTGCATGAAAAGAAGATGATTCATCTTATGGTCCTCTCTTCAATTCAAGCCCAGTGGAGCTCTTGGTAGTCACTTCAGGAAAGTAGTTGCCTTTTTCTGGTCCACATTCACCCATAAATCCATCCCATTCCTTTCCTCTATCAATCTACACTTAAAAAGACAGAAACGTTTGCATTTAAATACACATTTTAAAAACATTTCCCCCCTCAAAATGCACATTTCTTAAGTACATTTTATTTCAACTAAGCATTTTAGACATATTTAGATTTTTTTAAAAACAACAACAACAACAACTTGTCTTTGAGCCATAACATTTTCGAAGTGCAAAAGGCAGTCAGAGTCTCTTCCAACTCCCTAATTCTTTTATTAAAAGGATAAGGAAGGCTTCAGTCCTAACACCACTTATCTGGATGTAAACCCCATTAAATTCAATTGGACTTACTTCTGAGTAGACATTGCTAGGATTGCACTTGTTGCACGCACCATAATCTTCAAATGGCAAGAGACTCCATGCTTCCAAGTGCATTACCCAGGGTTCAGTTTACACTTAGAGGCTTTGGTGTCTTTAGGATATGATTTTATTTACACATATATACAAACTGAGCATAGGATGAATGGCTCACAGCATTAATACACACACACACACACACACACACAAATATTGCCTGTCCATTAGGCTTTTTTGGGGGAGGGGGGTCAAAGCCAGGCATTAGCAAACTTTTTAAGCAGGGGACTGGTCCATTGTCCCTCAGACCTTGTGGGAGCCTGACTATATTCTTTTTTTTGGGGGGGTGAACAAATTTCTATGCCCCACAAATAACCCAGAGATGTATTGTAAATAAAAACACATATTCTACTCATGTAAAAACACCAGACAGGCCCAACAAATAACACAGAGATGAATTTTAAATAAAAGGACACATTCTACTCATGTAAAAACACGCTGATTCCCAGACCATCTGTGGGCCAGATTTAGAAGGTGATTTAGTAGCGTGTGTTGCCAGCACACAGAGAGGGAAACAGACAGAGTGTGCATGCACAGTCAACTGCCTAATGGCATCCATATCACTCAGGAGATCACAGTCGCTGGGGAGCAGGGAGAGAGTTGTTCTGTTGTCTGGAGAGGCCACCTCCTGGTTCACACAGAGACAATGTTTTCAATGGAGTCCAGTGATGGAAGCACACATCTGTATGGCGTCAGCACCGGGTACTGAAAATTTACACCCCTAACAATTTTGCACCCGGGGCAACCACCCCTGTGCTCCCTACACACTTTGCCACTGTTTGGTGGATTGGTCCAAAAAGACCCATCTAGTTCAGCATCTTGTTCTCCCAGTGTCCAACTAGTTGCCTATAGTTGCAAACACAACCTGAGATAGGTGTCCAGATTTTCCGGGACATTACTGAGATTTCAAAGGCAGAATTGACGTCCAGGGAATGAGAGGGATTCTTGAAATGTGGGGCTTTGTCCTGGACCTTAAGCAAGTCAATTGAAAAATTGGGGGTTGTATTTTAAAAGCTCAAGCATTTCAGGGGTTTTTGAAATATGGCAACCCTAAAAAAGGTAAAGGTAAAGGATCCCTGACAGTTAAGTCCAGTCGCAGACGAACTCTGGGGTTGCGGTGCTCATCTCGCTTTACAGGCTGAGGGAGCCAGCGTTTGTCCACAGGTCATGGACAGTTTTTCCGGGTCATGTGGCCAGCATGACTAAGCTGCTTTAAGGCACAACGGAACACCGAAACCAGAGCAGCACACAGAAACGCCATTTACCTTCCCGCCGTAGCGGTACCTATTTATCTACTTGCACTTTTTGGCGTGCTTTCAAACTGCTAGGTTGGCAGGAGCTGGGACCAAGCAACGGGAGCTCACTCCATCATGGGGATTCGAACCGCCAACCTTCTGCTTGGCAAGCCCAAGAGGCTCAGTGGTTTAGACGACAGCACCACACGTGTCCCCATATGGCAACCCTAAAGTAAAGGTAAAGGGACCCGTGACCATTAGGTCCAGTCGTGACCGACTCTGGGGTTGCGGTGCTCATCTCGCTTTATTGGCCAAGGGAGCCGGCGTACAGCTTCCAGGTCATGTGGCCAGCATGACTAAACTGCTTCTGGAGAACCAAGGCAGCACATGGAAACGCCGTTTACCTTCCCGCCGGAGCAGTACCTATTTATCTACTTGCACTTTGACATGCTTTCGAACTGCTAGATTGGCAGGAGCGGGGACTGAGCAACGGGAGCTCACCCCGTCGTGGGGATTCGAACCGCCGACCTTCTGATGGGCAAGTCCTAGGCTCTGTGGTTTAACCCACAGCACCACCCGCGTCCCTATGGCAACCCTACCTGAGAGTAAATGTGCTCCCCACGCTTGGGATTCAGAAGCCCACTGTCTCAAATACTGGAGGTCAAACATAATAACTCATATCATCTTGAAGGCAATGGCCTTGAGGAAGGCTAGAGCAAGCTAAGGATTGTGTGTCTACTTTCCTGCTTACAAATGTTGTAAGATTCTTCTTGGCTACGGCATCATGATGTTATGCCGATACAGCTCAAAGAGTTTGCTCCAAGAGGTACTCAAGGCTCCGAGTATGTGAAGTTTAAGTGCTTTCCACTTAAGGTCCAGTGAGCTTTCCCCACATTAAACGAAATGAAATGCAGTAATGAAAGTATTAGCTGTGGCCATAAAATTAAAATGACTTTGTTCCAATAAGAAGATGCATGACAGTGTGTGATAATTCACTTTCTGGACCTCGTTGGGTCCATTTGGTCTCGTGGCGCTCAGAGCTTGTTGCAGCTTGGCTACTCCCATCGCCAGCCAAGCGAAAACAAAACCATGTGAAAATGAAAGCTAGCTCATTATAATCTAATTTTAAAACAAAACTTTAATAACGTTAACACATATTTACTCAGGTAATTTCCGTGCTTCGCTGACTCCAAGCCAGGCAGTTGTTCTCCTTAGCTGCAGGTTAAATCTCAAAATGATTTTTCCCCCTATATTTAAAATGATCAGTTATTCATTCTTTCAATTATAGAGACAGAGACAGAGAGAGAAAGCGCTAGTTCTTTTGAACATTTTAAAAGTGTGCCGCATTTAGTGAGCTGCTTATTGTTAACAGCAGCTAATGGATACAGCCCTGTTTAGGAAAGTTTTTAATGACTGATGTTTTAAGGTTTTTTTAATCTCTGTTGGAAGCCACCCAGAGTAGCTGGGCAACCCAGCGAGATGGGCGGGGTACAATTATTATTATTATTATTATTATTATTATTATTATTATCTGCCTACACAGATATTTATGCATACCCTCACAAAAAAACCTTAATAAAAAAGGTTTCCTTAATACATGCCAAGTTTCTTTTTTCAATATTTATGAACCGTATTGCTTAATGCTCTTGTCATACGACACCCATTTAACTATTCACATGTGTAACAGTAGAGATTAGAGCCAATCCACAGGTTTATTTTTTAGGTTTGCAGATCTTTTACTGTAGTTGTGTGAAATACATTTAAACCTCTCCCTCCCAGGGACATCCAATTGCACACTGGATTGGAGACGACGCTGGATACATTATTGCAAAAAGAAGAAATGCAATTTAATATGAAGTGCAAATCTTCAAAATGCACATAAATTAGAGATGTGTTTTATGTCATGTTGATGGACCTGTTACAGTTAGAGTACAATATTACAATTTGATATTTTTAATAAGAATTCAAGAATGCAAAAACTTTTTTATAAGGAAAAAATTAAGAAGATTTCTGGGTTTGGTGAGCTCCCTAAAACCTGTGGGCCCTTGTTTTACAGTACACATTCTAGCTGGCTACCAGTGCACTAGGACAGTTATCTATGCCTTCAGATTGTTCATGGAGACTTTTGGCTCAGAGCCCACTTCCCATGCCCTATTGCAACTAACAGAGTAGTCCAAACCCTACTTAGCCTGGGCTTGGGGGGACTGGAATGAGCAGGTGTGTGTCTCTGTCCAGCTCTCCTAGCTAAAAAAAAAAACTCTTTCATGGTCACATAATGGTGGGTAGGAGGTCCACTTGCAGGAGCCAGTACAAAGTTCCAAACCAGGGCTTCCAAAGGCAGGGAGGTGTAGCACTGATCCAGTATGCAAGCTGTTGGATCCCAAACAGATGTCACTGCTGTTGAGCAGTGGCATGGGACGTAATTTGGGCTTGACTGCTGCACTATATCCAGGCTGGTGTGGTGATCTTACTGCCTCCCACCTTCCACCCAGGCCACTGTGAGCCCCACTTCTCTATAAAGCCCCACTGGTGGAATGCAAAGGTTTGGATTGCATCCTAAACCTGCAACCCAGTCAAACCCTGTGTGACTGGGTATAGGGTGGTACAGTGGTACCTTGGTTCTCAAACTTAATTCGTTCCGGAAGTCCGTTCCAAAACCAAAGTGTTCCAAAACCAAGGCGCGCT